CATATTTTTGAAAAAAAGGAAGGTAAAAGATTAATTGGAAATAAAATTGTGATAATATCAAGGGATGAACGGGATCAAGTGCATCTGTATGTTCTGCACAATGACAGTGAGTTTGAGCCATATGTTGAAATACACAAGGATAAACTCTGAAGGTTAAATCAGAATAGAAATGAAAATTGGATAGTATGGGAGCAGAATCAAATTTTTGTACCATGGTTGAAGGATCATATTTTTTCAAAGCTTCATTCAGATACCGCTTCAATAATAGAAAGGTTGAGATGTTTGGCATATGGTCCAAGTTTGCATGTGTTTTCTTATAACACATACGCAATTAATGGATACACATTTTATACCAAATAACAAGATGATAAAAGTACTATGCAAAATAGTGGTGTCACTATACTTGTTGAAGCAATGCACATTTCAAGTATGAAGGACCTAAACCCCAAATATGCAAATCTGTCATATTTTGGGGTTATCGAGCATATTTGGGTGTTTGATTACGAGAAGTTTCAGATTCCTATCTTTGGTTGCAAGTGGGTAAGTAGTAGTGGCATACGAATGGATAAGTCAGGATTTTTGAAAGTGGATCTTAATAGGGAGAGGTACAATGATGAGCCTTTTATTCTAGCCTCTCAAGCTAAACAAGTGTTCTATGTCACTGGCCCAATGAGTACAAAATGGTCTATAGTACTTTTATCTAACAAAGTGGTTGATGATAACGGTGTAGACCAAGGTGATATTGATGATGAGAATGAGTCATGTATTAGACGGAATGAGTCGTATATTATAAATGATCAAGATGAGAATATTATAGCGGATGAATCATATATCAGAAATGATCATAATGATGGAATTTGGATAAATCCATTCGTCCGCATTGTTAAGAAACAAGTAATTCATGTTCCAACCAAGAAAAGAAAGAGATGTTAGTGAAAGAGGTAATATATTAAAATGTTTATGTTTATGTTTATGTTTGTGTTTACGTTTAAGTTTATGTTTATGTTAATGTTTGTGTTTGTCATTTTATATATATTCAAATGATTATGGAATTTTATATTGGGTTTATGTTTATGTTTATGTTTATTACAGGTTAGATGGCTACTAACGAGGATCACCCACATGATGATTCTAGGCATGATAGAGATGAGCCCGTTAATAAAATGGAAATGGAAATTAGACGAGGAATAACAATTATGAAGAGAATCATCGAGATAGAGATCGAGGCATAAAGTATGATGTGCATTGGAGTCAAGAAAGTCAACTAATTGAGCCCAACGGTTCAATGTTGACGAGTTATCTTGGCTCGGTGGTAAGGAGAGAAATTCCAATTACTTGTCAAGATTGGAGAGCAAAAGTGTTGAACGACGCTAAAGATAAAATATGGAGGGAGATACAGGTACCATATGTGATGTTATTTGTTTTTAATGATGATTATGTCTTTAAATTACTTATACCAACGCACTTTGTGTATGATTTTCGTAGAGGTCGTTCAACATTGAGGATACCAGGAGAGATTATATACTCAAATTGGCCGGAAAATTACATAGAGGGTTTAGAGCTTTTTTATCAAACAAATTTATTAGGGATGCAGATAAATTTTTTGTTGTTGCAGAGCTTCCAAATAAATATGCAGATTTGATTACACCTGAAGAATGAGAAACTTTTAAATCCAAAAGAAAAACCCAGAAATTTGAGAGTTTAAGTGTCGTAAATCAACAACGAGCATCAAGTCCCGCATATCCATACAAAAAAGGGCGTATAGGATATGCACGCTTACAACAATCTATTGTAAGTAATTATAAATTGCAAAGTATCTATAATATATGCACGCTTGTATTTGATCATGTTATTTGGCTTAATGTGTAGTTAACAAAGGAGAATAGTTCTGAAACATTTCTTCCGAAATATGTTGTGGAAGGAAGCCTGTGTGTGTAAGGATGGAGTTGTTAAAGAAAATGTCCAACAAATTTTCGAGAGATGTGTAAGTATAACATTAATTATTTAATTACATCATTCTTTTATTTATTTAATTACATCATTCTTTTATTAACATATCATTCTTTAATTACAATATTCATATGAATTTCAGGAGACTCTTTCTCAGTCTATACCTCCAGATGAAGATAATGATTGCAGGAGAATACTTAGTCGAGCATTAGATATTCATGAGTATTCTGGTCGGGTGAGGGCTAAGGGGTTTGGGATCACTCCGACATCCTTGAAGAAAAAATCAAAGACAAAATCTCCTAGCAATAAAGAACTTCAGGAAAAGTTGGAAAAGTTACAACAAGAAGTTTATGAGCTGAGAAAGGAAAAATAAATAGATTAAGCTACAGGTTTTAAATATACTAGTTACAAAGGTAGTATCAATGGTAACTTTGGACCAAATATTCCCGAGGTAATTATATACCATATTTATTAATTATAGAACCATGTTTATTAATTATATAACCATATTTATTAATTATATAACCATATTTATTAATGGTTATAGGGCATTTCCCGGTGTCAACTCTATTTGTCGTCACCGACTTATCAGATGGTTGACAAGGGAAAAGTGTATAATACTTCGGGAGAAATGCTTCACCATAAATCGCTCCCAAATGGATTTTTGAAAGTATCGGTTGATGTTGTTTTAGAGAGGGGTGCATTGTTACCACTACCTGACGATGTCGCGGATGCAACATTGGTGGCAGATGCAATAGGATCATTTGTTGCATGGTCGTCAAGCCTCATTTGCGTAGATGATGAGGTATGCTTAAAACCGTTTACTGTTGTTGCATCATTCTATTTATTGTTGTTGCAGTTATGCGAGTGTTTTTTGTGCACCATGTTCAATGTTGTATTCAGTGAGGAAATGAGATGAAAGCTGAAAGTGATGAACGATTGTCTCAGAGAAGTATACTTGAGAAATGAGGTTTTGATCCTCTACAATGGTGATTCTTTTTTTTTGAAAAGATTTTTTTGGATGAATTTAGGTGGCGATAGAAAAATCCTAATCGAGGATGAAATAATCCTTTAACAGTTACAGTTTGAACACTAACGCTGGAAGTGAGAATGATCCTATGGAGAAGGTCACAATGACTATGTCCGAAAATAATTGTGCAATGATAAAATAATGAATCTTGAGGTACAAGTCAGTTTTACCGGGCTCCACGGTGGGTACCAAATATATACACGTAATACATTGTTTGATAACTCAACCAACACGGAACCGATACAAGTTGCAAATAATTTATCTGAGTATGAGTCGTAGGAAAAATGTATATTTTTCCTTAATGATTGCAACATTTATATAACAGTTTTGCTCAGCTCTGCCTCTAAAACCCATTGATTGGGCATGAGACCTATGTTTTCTTGTCTGCATGAAAGCAGTTAGTTGGAATCAAGTCCTTGTTTTTCTGTCTCAGACCAACCATTTATAACTATTTACAAAACTTGAATGCTTTATCTAGTTCCTTCGATATTGCTCATGGGGTCAGTCTGATCAATTTAGTCTATTTACTATCTTAGCCTAGTTTTGTCTTTATGGACAAGTTGGGGATTGCGGCAAGCTATATTAGCTTTGGGTGAGAATTCGATCAAATTTATCGAAATATACATAGTCTCCCAAACATCAGATTTATAAAAACAAAATGATTTTAAGAATAAAGACCAATTGAGAGGCTATAATGTAAAATATTATTTCCCGCCTCTAAAACTTCTCAAACATCATTCATTTGGACAAAAATGTCACATACTACTTTCATTTTTTTAAATATAAGTCGTTTTGTCATTTTCACACGTATTAAAAAACATAATTATTGTAATATAAAAAGAAAGATTACAAGAAATTTTACAAAATTATTCTTATTAATTATATAAAAAGATAAATTTAAAGAATTAATAAAAATAATAATAAATATTAAAAGGTATTTTAAAAGAAATATATTAGTAATTGATTTTTTATTTGATGTATATATTTTTTTAAAACTACTTATAATAATAAACGATGTGAGTAAAATTAAAAGAGTAATGTTATATAATAAGAATTATTTAATAAGAAAGATAAGAATTTGTCATTGTTTTAGAGAATAATTTAAAATTTATTTTAAATCTAATTTCTTTTTTAATATGAATTATGAGGTAGTAGTAGTAATGAATAATTGAGATTTAATTTTTGTCTTTCTTACTTTTAAACTTTCTTATTGATAAATATTTTCCAATTTAAAATATAGAGTATCATTTATAAGGTTCCCACTTCTAGATTCGAATCAAATTAAAAAGGATAATTTTTGTTGAGTTAAATATATTTTTGATTTTTATAAATATTTCAAATTTGACTTTTTATCCTTATAAAAAAATATCACATTATAATTCCTTTAAATTATTTATGCATAACGTTATAGTCTCTTTAAATTATTTATGTATATAACATTTTAGTTATTCTATAAAAACTATAATTACGTACCTAAATAATTTATGTATATAACATTTTAGTTATTCTATAAAGACTATAACTACGTATCTAAATAATTTCGTAAAACTAAAACGTGACATTTTTTTTTATAATGACTAAAAATCAGATTTTATAATTTTATAGGAATAAAAAATATATTTAATTTTTTCTAATATTTTATATTCTATTAACATTTGCAATTTGGATAAGGGAGATGTTTTTCTTTCAAATTTTTTCAATTATTAGTAGTAACTTTTTTAGTGATGCATAGAAGAAAAAAGTGCGAACAAAATGGTCTAGTAGAAAAAAAAGTCAGCGCGTGAAACTTCACATAGATTTGGTTTCGAAGAGCGTTTAGTTTCATTGTTCGAAAATCGCAAACCCTCTCTCTCTCTCTCTACTTCGCGTCACGACACACACACGCAAGCACAACCAGTAACAAAACCCCTCTTTCAATTCAATTCTTCTCCTCCACTTCTTCACCTCTTCACCCCCTTCTTCTCTTTCAACCGTTTCCTCTCATGAAACTGCACGCGCATCTTTAACCGACGTCGTCTTCATGGCTCCGAAACCTCACCTTCAGCTCAAGGAGCTGGGATCCAAACTCGACATTCTTCCTTCTTCTAAGGACGCTCTCGTCGAGCTCTTGAAGGTGTGTGCACTTTTTTTCTCGTTGAATTGAATTTCTCGTTGCTTCATAATTGCGAGCTTTAATTATGCTAGATTTCGAATTTTTGGTTTCGGGTTAGTTATTGCGTCCGTTTTTTTTTTCTTTCAGTTTACCTAATGCATACGCTTTACTTTAGCTGATTTGTTACTTGGAAAATTGAATTGAGCTTTAATGTGTAGATTGGTTTCAATTTTTGTGCTAAATGATTGTGTGTGGTTTGTAGATTGGTTTGAATTGAGCTTTATCTGTGGTTTTGTTTTGCTATTTAAGGGGTTGAATTGTCAGATTTACTTTGTTTGATGTGAGAGATTGGTTAATTTGAAGCAAGTCTGTGGAGCATTTTTGAGTTGTGTTTATTTTCTGAAGGTGCTAGAATTTAGGGTTTTTGTACTGTGCGAAATTGGTATTTTCCAGTGTTGTAATTAAGTTCTCAATAAGATGTACATGTTTTGGATTGGTGAGAAAATTGAGTGGGAAGTGGGTGAAGCTGTTGAGTATTTCAAATTTGAATAAGAAATAATGGAGGGAAAGAATGAAGGGAAAACTAGAAGGGAAAATGAAGAGATTCATTGCTGCGAGTTCTGATCACTTGTTTGTGTCTTATTGTCTAATTTTCGACGTGTAAATGAATTAGTATATGTTAATGAGTCCTGGAATTCGTTGATTGCATTAAATTCTGCTAGTGAGAGTGCGCATATTTGTATATCTCGATGAATGTACCATTTTCAATTTTGAAATGTAGAAGAGATTGAAAGTGGTTTTTACTAGAGTTGGGTTATGATTTAATGAGATAGATTATGAAAGTATTTTTATTTCAAGATAACGGACATGGAAAGATGTGGGGTCACACTTGCGGAATCATTGGTAAGCTTATTTGTTGACATATATATTGTTGCACTTACCAAGCTTATTGTCTGAGTTCTCAGCACAATTTGATACTACACATGTGGTAATAATTCATCTCTACATTTGCAAAGGATTTTCCATCTCTTGCTCCTTTGTGTTTATGTTTATTTTCTTGGAAAAATTGAAGTATCCTTTGAAGGATTGCATGGCTGTGTCGGCCCAATAAACTTGCTGTATGTCTGTAACCAGATGTGTTGTAACTAGTACTATAATAGTTTAGTTTTATTCATCTAGGTCTGTGTCAATTAAGCCATGAGAAGGATGAAGAGAGAAGATTGAGAAACATATTTGGCATTTAGGCCTTCTCTTAAAATTAGATATTACTAGTTAAGTTAGTCATATGGACACACTGTCATAGTCTTGTGACAGATGTTTGCCATGTAGCCATTAGATCTTTAAATTATGACTGAACTTTCATATCGTAATAAAAGTACCAAAGGTTGAAAAATGAAAACTCTTTTTGCTGATACTTACTTCTGGAGGTTGACAAGAATGAACTTCTCAGTGGAACATAGCATTTTTGTATTGGGTTTACTATTTTCCCACTGCTAAATGAATACGTGTCACCAAAAAACCAAAAACCAAGTTTACACTTTACAATTAAAACTAGTTTATAAGCATCTAATACTTGAGTCCATATAGTATAATGGTATTATGGTGTATAATACTAGAAAGTATTTAATTTTTACTTATGTTACCCTCATGCAGTATATAATTTTTCATTTCATGTGTTGAGTTGAATTTTGATTAGAAACTGCTGACATCCCCCACACCAACTGTTTCTTGATCTGCAGCAAGCTGCAGCATGCCTTACTGACATGGATCAATCACCTTCAGCTTCAGTATTAGAGTCGATGAAGCCCTTTTTAAATTCAATTGTTAAGCCGGAATTGCTAAAGCACCAAGATGGAGATGTAAAACTTCTAGTAGCAACATGTGTTTGTGAGATAACTCGAATCACTGCACCTGAAGCTCCTTACAGTGATGGTGTTCTAAAGGTGCCTTCCATTTACCCTAGTTATCTGATAATACAAATTATGTCATTATTTTAACTTAAAATGTTGATTATCCTTTTACTATCCGCCATACATAAAGAGAAATTTAAGTGGGAATCCTAATCTTTGTTAGATCAATTTGCAGGACATCTTTCAGTTGATTGTGAGCACTTTTAGTGGTCTGAGTGATATAAGTGGTCCATCCTTTGGCCAGGAAGTCGCTATGTTGGAGATTCTTGCAAAATATAGATCGTGTGTTGTAATGTTGGATCTTGAATGTGATGATCTGGTTAATGAGATGTTCAGTACTTTTTTTGCTGTTGCCAGGTTAGTTTATCATAAATCTTTTGCTTTGTTAATTGTATTTGTGTGCTCATGGTCAAGAGTTATATATTGTCCGCCTTAAATATTCTTCTTTTTGCTTCCACGGTTGCAAATTTGATACTTTGTTGGTTTACTTGGTTCTTGAATTTGCCTTCCTTTTGCTGGTCATGATGAAACTATGTAAAAATGAATAAAGATAATTAGAAAATTGAAAATGATACGTATTTGTATAAATGGAATGTAATATTTTTGGAATGGCGAGGGAAATTCTGTTGTTCTGAAACAGTAAAGCTACACTCTAGATTCATTGCTCTTTGTCTTGCCTATCTTGTCCTTTTGTTATCTTTAAAAATACATTCGGGGTATTGTATGATGCTTGACATATTATTGTACCCAAAACCTTGTTATGTATAACACAAGTTTTTTTGTCTAGTTAGGTTGAGTGCTTCTTCATTCATTGACTTATTTAACTCTTATTTGTGTTATGTAATTGAGTTATCAAATCATTTGTATCGAGTGATGTGTCTGTGCAATACCATTTATGGGAAATAATCGTTAGTATTACTTCTTGAATGACAAATTTTTTATGCTTCTTTTCTTGAATAAAGATCCTTTTTGTATTAATGAATGGTGCTTGTACATTATGTTTCATGCTCAGAGATGATCATCCAGAAAGTGTTCTATCATCCATGCAAAATATTATGGCTGTTCTCTTAGAGGAGAGTGAGGTTGTTCACGAGAATCTTTTATCTATTCTACTGTCCACTTTAGGTCGTGAAAAAAGAGTAAGTAGTTTTTCTTTTGCTTTTATCCTTTAATTGGGAGATGGCTTATGCTCTTGGATGATGACATCTCTAATCTTATACAAGAACATACAATTTGCTGATACATTTTAGTTGCAGGATGTTACTACAGCCGCGAGGAAGCTTTCCCAGAATGTCATACAACAATGCATAGGAACACTTGAACCTAGCATTAAACAATTTCTTCTATCATTGGTGTCAGGAGAAAGCAAGCAAGTGAATAGTCAAGTTCAGTTCCATGAAGTATTATATGATATCTGTTGCTGTGCTCCTCAGATCCTATATGGAATTCTCCCTTATGTCACAGGGGAGCTACAGGTAGTTACTGGCTTATCGGTTTCCCAAGTCCATTTAACATGATTTCAGAACCTATCCAAGATCTCTGGGCCAGCTGCTTTTAGGTCATTGCTACCGGGCCACTTGGGCCATGCCCGAGATATCTAGTCTTCGGTGTGAGTGGAGTGTGTTACGAGTCCCACAATGGATGGGATATGACTTGAACATGTGTTTATAAGTGGGGACAATCCTCATTTAAAAAATTCATTATGGCTTTTTAATCCTTAAACCTTCATCAAATTTAGTTTACGAGTTCAAGCAAAATCACACTCTTGACTGTAATTCAAATTTGATGCATGAATTTTCATTTGTAATTTACAGACTGACCAGTTGGAAACCCGTCTGAAAGCCGTGAACTTGGTTGGAGATATCATTGCTCTTCCTGAAATTTCCACTGCTGAGGCATTTCAGCCAATACTTTCAGAGTTTGTAAAGAGGCTGACTGATAGAGATTTTGGGGTTCGCATGTCTGTCCTTGACCATGTAAAGAGCTTTCTTCTGTCAAATCCTCAGAGGCCTGAAGCTCCTCAAATAATCTGTGAGTCCATTAGTTATGTAAATCATATTCAGTCCCAGCTTCTATTATTGAATGTGTTACTATCTATATGTACTAATTTATTTCTGCAAAACTTTTTAGCTTCCCTTTGTGACCGGCTTCTGGATTTTGATGAAAATTTTCAAAAACAAGTGGTGGCTGTTATCTGTGATGTAGCATGTCACACCCTACACGTAGTTCCTCTTGGAGCTGTGAAACTTGTTGCAGAACGGCTTCAAGACAAATCTGTAAGTATTCCTCTAATTGGCGATATTGTTTTTCTACGTTCTCTCTTATTTCCGACAATTCTGTTTTTCTACGTTCTCTCTTATTTCTGCCGATTCTGTTTCAATCTCAAAGCCATGTTTTGCTTTACATTTCCAGCAACTTGTTAAAAAGTATACCATGGAGAGACTGGCTGAGATATACAGAGTTTTTTGTGAGAAAAGCTCTGATACCGTTAACCCCAGTGGATATGACTGGATTCCAGGGAAGATCCTTAGATGTTTCTATGATAAAGATTTCAGGTGAAATACTTCTCCCCCATAGTACGGTTATATATTTGACCATATTTGCACCATAGTCATCATTTTTGCACATTGATTTTATTTTGTTTTCTTATAATATTTGAACACAATGGATGCATAAACCTTTTGGCTTTATGACCATTAAATATGGACTGACCTTTTCTTAATAGTTGTAAATTGAACATAATTATACAAGAAATTGCTTCTATGACCAACAAACAATAACAGTGGAATGAAGTATGTACTTTATCCATCATCAAATTTGTTGAGAAAATAGAGGATTTTGATCTGTTGACACCTTCAACAACACAGTTATATTTTCGCATCTTTTAAACTGATGGATTTTTCTATTTATTTATGCGAGGTTGAGATTTTTATCTTGGAATAAATAACTAAATAACATTCCATGTGCCTGATATATATATATATATATATATATATATATATATATACACACACACACACGAATATCTTTTGAATTTCATTTAATGCATTTTTAGTATAGTTTTTTTTTTCTGCACTTGCATAGATGATATGCTGGAAATTTACCACACGGGTTTAACATGACATGTAGCTGTTAACATAGTCAAACTCATTAAATAAGTTATTAGCACAAGATTTGTGTGTAGTGCAAATTTTTTAAACTGACTGAATAAAATTTGAAATCTCAATTTTATTTAAAGAACAATTAGAGAATGGAATAGTTCAAACAGTTCAAGCAACCAAACAACTAATCAAAACTCCCTACATTTTCAAGGATGAAGTTTATATTTAATTAGTTTATTTTCATATTTTTCATCAGTATGTTTTTTTCCCTTGAACCCCGGTCAGTATAACCGGTCCCAAACCGCGAGAAAAAAATAGGGCTTAGTTCTGTAGCTGACACTCAGTGTGAAACCTTTTAAAATTTACATGACATAATTGGTTTAGACACAAAATTGACGCTTCCCACAAGCAAGATGTAGTATGATTCAGGTAGAATGTTAACTAAGTTTGCTTCTTTCTTTTCCAGTGTGGTTTGTTTAGTTTCTTGTTTTCCAAGGAATAAAGATGTTCCTGAGTATTGACATTCTTTTTGTTTGCTTTATTTTCCAGATCAGATACAATTGAATCTATTCTGTGTGGGTCGCTGTTTCCATCAGAGTTTTCTATCAATAATATGGTTAAACATTGGATTGATATTTTCTCTGGATTAGATGAGGTGGAGGTCAAGGCTCTTGAAAAGATACTTGAGCAAAAACAAAGGTAAGCTTGGTTGACTTATGTGACTACTGATACTTTTTCTGCTGTATCAAATTTGCAGTTTTCATGAAACCACTTTGATGGCAGGCTACAAGAGGAGCTGCAGAAGTATCTAGCTCTGAGGCAGAATAGTCAGGTATGCAACCTTGGAAGTTAAAATGCGGAGCATTCAAAGGAAATTTGATTTGGAAAAGGTATTGATCTTGTTGAAATGCAGGATAAAGAAAATCCGGAGGTTCAAAAGAAGATTGAGTTCTGTTTTCGAGTAATGTCCCGTTCATTTGCTAACCCAACAGAGGCGGAGGAGAGTTTCCAGATTCTTGATCAGTTAAATGACACTACTATCTGGAAATTTTTGACGAATCTTGTTGATCCGAATACTAGCTTTCATCAAACTCGTATTTACAAGGTAATATAATCTGAAACAGATATGTATATGTTTTTTTTTATATACTGATTAAGGATATATTGTTACCAATTGCATTGAATTATTCACTGAAGTGAAGATATGCGAACTGAATATTTGATACTTATACCCTGTTCCTGGGGGGCTACATTACTAAACTTCAGAAATTGTTACTTAAATGTTCACGAATTCTGTGTCTAATGATGTCACACTGTCATCTATTTATAAAAACTGTAAATAATTTACAATAAAAGCGAATGAGCATCAAATCCTAAATTAGCTCTAATCTATCTATATTATGATAGTGTACAGCTAAGTACTGATCTATACAAAAAACGTAGATTTGATTCCAACAGTTTCCAAAATCTTAACTCACATCTCTGGACCTGCTTTCCTGTTACTTACATGACCGTATTTAAAAGGCACCAACGAGATTAATTACAAAGATGTTAACATTGTAAGACTAATTATTTAACCCCTGGTGCCTATCAGGAGAATAGTATCTGAACATACAAATTGTACAATCTTATTGTAATTTAGACTGACCTACTCATATGTCTATTTTCTGAAGCAATGAAAGAAACTGTAATTTACAGATTGTTATTTACTTATGTTGGTTACTTTTTACTTTTTATTTGCAGGATGATTTGATTAAAATTCTGGGTGAGAAACATCAGCTCAATGAATTTCTAAATACCTTATGTGTAAAGTGCTCCTATTTTCTATTCAACAAGGAGCATGCAACAGCTGTTCTTTCAGAAATCATCAGATATAAATCTGCAGAGAATGATCAGCGTACGAAATCTTGCATGAATATGTTAGTGGTAAGATCATGTCATTTCAGATGTATTAACCTACTGCCATTGGTTCTTGAACATTTGTATTATGCATTCTCTGTCATGATTCTTGAACAATTTCTGTCATTTTAGGTGTATTAACAGTCACACCATTACTGTGATTTAAATTAAATTAAATTGAGAGTGAGGGTGGAAAAAATACCACTTATAGTTAAAGAGAAACTGATGCTATGTCATGGACCCTATTCATAGTAATGTTAATCCCTTAGGAGAAGGTCTGATAACGGTTTATCCATATCTTAAACACTCTCATTAATTAGAGTTATTGTATTTTTGCAGTGCCTTTTCCATTTATTTTATATGCCTCTGATTTAGATATGAAACCATGGACATTTTCAGTCATTTTGGACACGGGTTTAAAAGTATTGTTTGTAATCAACTTTTCTAACTTCTAGTTTACTCATGATAATGTGCAGATAATTGCTCGTTTCTGTCCACACTTTTTTAACGGCAGTGAGAAGGAACTGGTGAAGTTACTCAAAGATAATAATAATAATGATATGATCAGAGAGGGTATTTTGACTATTTTAGCAAAGGCTGGTGGTACTATTAGAGAACAACTATCAGTTAAATCAAGGTGCCACTGTCAAACTCATAAACTCTCTTACTTTCATTTCCTTTTATAATATTCTTATTATTTCCTTTTGTCATGCAGTTCTGTAGACCTTATGTTAGAAAGACTATGTTTAGAAGGCAGTCGGAGACAGGCAAAGTATGCTGTGCATGCTCTAGCTGCAATAACAAAGGACGATGGCCTCAAGTCTCTCTCAGTTCTATACAAGGTTTCACTTGATTTCTTATATGGATAGTTTTAATGCATCCCGAGGTTACTGCTATTTACAGTTGCTCCTTTCTTGTTTTAAAACTCACACCGACCTCTCTTGCTTTGTTATCTTTAATGGGACTTTACATATGGTCGGTACATATAAGTAGGGGAGGTAGTGTAATTTCTTTAAAAAATAAGGGTATCAAACCGTAAGAACAGTACATATAATGAGGGAGGTAAGTGTAATTTTCCAAACAAGAAAGTTGTAATTAGCTCTTATCTCTAGTGAAACAAGTGTAATTTTCCATGTATTGTAATATGTGCTAGAATGTTTTATTCTGATTGTTTTCACCTTTTACGCAGAGGCTTGTAGATATGCTGGAGGAGAAAACACATCTTCCCACCGTTTTGCAGTCGTTGGGTTGTATAGCACAGACTGCAATGCCTGTATTTGAAACTAGAGAGAGTGAAATTGAAGAATTTATAATAAACAAGATTCTGAAAAGTGATAGTGTAAGCCTTTTAATTCCTTAGAATTTAATTCTTCTTTATGGCATAAGTGTCAAAGTAATCAATTTCTATTTAAATGCTTGTTTTGGTTTTAGAAAGATGATCACACAAAAGCTTCCTGGGATGATAAAAGTGATATCTGTGTGTTGAAGGTAGGTTGGAAGATAGTCTATTCTAATTTTTCATACTTTAGATAGTGCCTGCAATCTGTAATTTGATACAAATATTATCTCATTGGATAATGATTGTAAGCTAGCTGCTCTTTGAAAGTTTCTATTATTCTCTCTTCGTATCTCTTTATTCTATTTCTTTGCTGCAGATATATGGTATCAAAACGGTAGTAAAAAGCTACTTGCCGATTAAAGGTGCTCTTGTTCGTTCTGGTATTGATGGTCTCTTGGATATCCTACGAAACATACTTTCTTATGGTGAAATATCAAAGGACATAAAGTCAAGGTAGCTATACAAGCTATATTTTTGTAATTCATTTCTATCTGAAAATTGTCACTCTTTCTCCAGATAATTTCAAATTGGTTTTCTGGGTTCAAATATTATATACTCATTTATGCCCTCTTGCAGTTCAGTTGATAAGGCCCACATGAGACTTGCTTCTGCAAAGGCAGTTCTTCGTTTGGCAAGGCTTTGGGATCATAAGATTCCTGCCGACACTTTTCACTTAACTTTGAGGGCATCAGAGGTAGGCCCCCCTTCTATTTACTCTAATTTCTTCTTGAGCATTTTTTAATTTGTTCATCACATTATTAAGAAGTTTCAGCTATTGAGAAATATGGAATATTGTTCATGATTTGGTGATGCACTTATGGATTAGAACTTAGATATGTACACATATGACCTATAATTTGAGGGATTTCTTTGCAGAATAGAGAGTACAGTTAAGTGAGTCTGATTTCGTAGTTGATCTATGTCATAGAGATTCGGTAAAGTTTTATGTTGGCTGTCGACTGCCCAACACAACACTCTCCTTTTATCCGGGCTTGGGACTGGCTATGCATATCAAGCTAACATAGGCAGGATTAGTTAAGTCAGTCTAATTCCAGAAATATAATCTGATAGAAGAATGCTACCTAAGCCCAATCCAAGTGAATGAGAAGTGTTAGTGGGGGTGAACCTTGCTAGGCCCAAGATTTGGAGAGTATATGACAGAAAGAAGAAGGGAGAAATTAATAGAGTGATAGCTTTCCTGTTAGTTTGAATATTCTCCTAATGAGATGGATAGGGGGAAGGAAAGGTGGATCCAGTCATTTGCATTCTTACCTTATGGTCAGGCAGTTGGAGAATTGTTTTCTCTGCCGAGGAGCTTCCAGCTCTAGAACCCTTTGTTGTCAACTTTAACCATTTTATATTAATCAAACAACTTTTTCATCCAAAATGTTATGTTCAATTTTCAATTTTTTTGAAAATCCGGTATCCGGCCCTAGGATTGACCAATCGGAGGACCGATCCCACCATCCACTAACGGAGGGGCCCAATTGAAGCCAAAGCAAAACTCTCTATGGACTGACCCAACTTAGAAATTATTTGCCCCTAGTGGGATTCGAACCTGGGACTTTGAAAGGAGCACACTCTTAGGTCCCAAGCTTTCACCAACAGTCCAACCCCTTGGGGTTAAATATTATGTTCAATTGTGTGTGGGATGTATAGATAAGTCTTCGCAAGCCTATTGGATATCTTCCTTATTTCATTAGTCTCAAATTTAGATCCATCGGGGTATATTCTGGTTCGTATGTTATTGTACCCGTTTCTTTGAAGAGATGTATAATACACTTGGGGTTTCTATGTTCACTAGTGGCTTGAGATGTGAGCAAAATAGTCCTTATAAGGCTGAACCTGAGTCCTTAAAAGGAGGTTCAAGCACAGGGACATCCATCATCCTCCTAATATTTCTTTTGGGTTTTCAAGTAGAAGGTTGACTCTTAGGCATGTGAAGTGATTTTGTAGAGACAAATGAAGCATAAAACATCATCGCCCTCTCGTTGAATTCGACCTTTGAGATAGGGTTGGTGAAATATAACTCCTCTTCACTGAATGTACTACCCCTGTAAACAAATAAATATCTGGACAAAGGGCAGTAAGCCAATAAGTAATTACACTTGTATCCTTTTTGGGTCAAAGGATAGCTCACAACAACACATTTGATAGCCACCGGATATGGTTTCTTACTGTTTTGAGTGTAACCATGGAAAAATGACACACCTGATAATCTTAGGAACAATGTTACTTGTATTGTAGTGTGTAGATCAGGGTAGAAAGTGGAGAGTAAGGCCGTTGGATTCTTGTACCCCAAGACTCTATTAGGTAAACAAGTTATGTGTATAGGGTGAAATTGATTTGTTGATGTGTTCGTTCCAGTGTAGCAATAATTACGTCTCTTGTCTTATATTTGGTCTAATAGATTGGCTTCCCTCAAGCTAAGAAGGTTTTCTTATGCAAAGTTCATCAATATATAAAAGACCGCCTTTTGGAAGCCAAATATGCATGTGCCTTTATACTGAACATATTCGGAACCAACCCAAATGAGTTTGCAGAGGTAATATTTTGATTCGTTTAATCCTTTTGCTGTTGAAATTTCCTAGTTTTGACATCAATTGTGTCACTGTTAATGAATTGTGTTTGTTATTGTAGGATAAGCAGAACTTAACTGATATTATTCACATGCATCACCAAGAAAGGGCAGGACAGCTTTCAGGGAAATCAGATGCAAATTCCTTGACCACTTACCCTGAGTACATTCTTCCTTACCTAGTTCATGCACTTGCTAACCTATCTTGCCCCAATATTGATGAATGCAAAGATGCTGAAGCATACAATACTATATATAGGTAATATTTTACATTCTTACTTATATAGGACATCTCTTTAAGTGGAAGGAGTGTTTTGTAATAATACATTTAATGCCTTATCCATGTTTGTATGTATATTTGAAAGATTAGCCAGCCACTTGCTGATTTTTTCACAAAATGGTTTGACTTTGTGTTCCTGACATCCAGTTTATGGAAGCTTATGTAGAGTCTTAGTTTGGAATAATTAATAACTTAGAATTCCAAAAAATATGTGCAGTAACTAAAGGTCTTTTCTTGGAAGGGTCCCATATTAAATGAGTAGAGCATTTGCCCCGCCCTGCTCCAATGCAGTTAGGGTCTGTACGCATAGGTTTTAGTTTGGCTGAAACACCTAAATTCATCTATTTTATTATTTTTTGTACTGTGCAGATTATGTTTTTTTAATATGAATGTGGAATGCATCTTGGGCTGAAATCTATAGATTTTACTTTTGCTAGTGAGCTTTTAAAATGCATATGTTTAAAATTTTCATTCTTACAAAATTCCTATTCTATCTTCTTGACTTTGCAGGCAGTTGCACTTGATACTATCAATGCTAGTGAAACGAGATGAAGATGTCAACTCGAAAGTAACTTCTGACAACGAGAAAGAAATTCTATCTGCCATTACTTCTATCTTCCAGAGTATTAAACACTCAGAAGATGCGGTTGATCCATCAAAGTCAAAGGTTGGGGATTTTTTTTTTGACATTAAAAAAATGCAAATTTAAAGGTGATGAGGGACTGTAATCTTACGTTTGTGATCAATGAATGACCAGAATTCTCATGCCATATGTGACCTTGGATTAGCAATCACCAAGCGCCTAGTACAAAAAGATGTTGATATGCAAGGATTTTCTCATTCAGTTTCTTTACCTTCCATACTATACAAAGCACAGGAGAAGGAAAATGATCTTATGGTATCTCCTCTCCTCTTGTCAAATTGTAGTTTTCTTCTGGTATGCTAAATTGTCAAGCGTTCTTCACATGCTAGACAAAATGACTTCCAAATAGTTGCTACTTGATGATATTTATTACTCCCTCTGTCCCAAATTATAAGACGCTTTGGAGAAAAAATTTGTCCCAAATTATAAGTCACTTTATAATTCCAATGTGTTAAGAGTCCCACATCGGACAATATATGGCATGAACATGTGTTTATAAGTGGGGGCAATCCTCACCCTACAAGCCGGTTTTGTAGGGTTGAATTAGGCCCAACCACATCTTAATATGGTATCAGAGCCTCGTTTAAGATCCAGTGGACCATCCACCATTTATTTCCACGCTCCAGTTGTCTAGTCCTGGGCGTGAGGGGGTGTGTTAAGAGTCCCACATCGGACAATATATGGCATGAACATGTGTTTATAAGTGGGGGCAATCCTCACCCTACAAGCCGGTTTTGTAGGGTTGAATTAGGCCCAATCACATCTTAATACAATGCAACATTAATGATGTTTTTCTCAATATACTCTCGATTATTTATTTCTCTTTCTTCTTTCAATTCTCTTAATTTCTCTTTCTTCTATAATTAATGAAGGACAATAGTGTAAAGTCATACATAATTTCTCTTTCCCATACAACAATGATTATTTTTCTTAATACGTGTGAAATGTCTAACATGTCTTATAATTTGGGACAGAGGGAGTATTAAATGAGGTTGATTTGTTGCATTGTCGTGATTGCATCACTTTTAATGACATTAGTATTTAATCCATTAAGCCATTTTGAATGTCCATGTTTCAAGTTGTAGATTTTATTGTTACTCTGATATTTTTAATTGATTAAACTATGGTAAAGAACTCATTGGCAAACTTGTATAATCTAGTCACAGGAAGACACTTCCCTGTGATTAAATGGTAATAGCATATTCTAAATGTTTGATAAAATGTTATTAGGGTTTTTTCAATTAAGGTTTACAGAACATGTAGCTGAGATGGGTTTGTAGTCATATTCTTTGAGAGATTTTTAGCATTTTTAAGATACTGGATTACTTTAACTATAAAGTACTTCTTAATGCCTTTTATTTATGGCAGGCAAGCGAAGTGAAAACCTGGTTGGGGGATGAAAGTGTTTTGGCTCATTTTGAATCAGTTCAATTAGAAATGGTAAATATCAATTAGTATCTTCTAGTGAATCTTTTATCTTGAATCATGTGGTAATGTTTCTCCTGTATCAGGTTCCATCTCAATCAGCTGAAGATCATGCTTTAAAGGAAGAAGATGAAAAAGACAGAAATGAAATTCCCCTTGGAAAAATAGTAAAGAAGATAAGATCTCAGGGAACCAAGGGGAAGAAGGTGAAAAAGGATAAAACCACGACAGCTGAAACGAAAGAAGCTGAAGATGATTTTGACATCTTAAATATGGTCAGAGAAATTAATTTAGACAACTTGGGGACATCTAATAATTTCGAATCAAGTAATGGTCATGAAAGTTCTTTGAGTAAGAAGGTGCAGAAAGATCTCGAGTTTGGAACAATAAAAAAACGGAAAGTGGGAGAAGAAACACTTGTTCCAGTGCCTAAACGAAGGCGATCTTCCATTACCCATAGAAAATCACGACCGGGCAGTTCTTCAAAAGCTTCTCAAAAAGTTTCAGAGGAAGTTCCTTCTGGAGTGAAATTACTGTTAGATGCAGTAATTACTCCCGATACAGGTAGCAAAAATATGCAGAGAAAACTGGTCAAAGGAAAAGAGCCCTCGTCAGAACCAACAATTAAGGCCTTCAAGAGTTATCGTATTGATGAATCTGACAAATCTGAAGAACGTGACATAAAGGTGGAGTCTCACTGTCTAAACTGATTTATTCAAATGTTAGGATCTTAAAGCAGACTTTAACAAATGTTGTAGACTTCGGCTTATTTTCTGCATCTGTTGCAGAGTCCTGGAAAATTAAAGACAACTAATAAGACAGAGAGTGAAAATTTCAAAATGTCTGTTGGCTCTACTATAAAGCGGAAAAGAAATAGTACTGGGGGATTAACTAAGGTAACAACTCCCTTTTGCTTTTGCAGTTAATTTCTTTGTTGTTTTCATGTCAGTATCGCCTCTTTGCATGTTATAATGTATATGTTCTAGCAAGTCTCTTGGATAGCATCCGTAGCTTGACTTTTTCTTTCTTTTTTCTGTAGTGTACAACAAAGGAAAATCAAAGTCATGCTGGAGATCTGATCGGCTGCAGAGTTAAAGTTTGGTGGCCTTTGGATAAAACGTAAATAAAGAGATTTCCGCTTTAGAAGCAAAACAGTGCATGGATTCCACTAAGTTTATATAAAGGACAAACAATAAAAATAATGTTTTTTCAGTGATTTCGGAAGCTTTTTTACTGCATTTCCTAAAGACAATTTTTATTGCTTGTTTGAACTTCACCCGCTTCTTTTTTGGCTGGTAGAGTTACTGGGATTTTAACTGCTTGTTTTTCCACTGCATTTCTAGTAGTTTGTTTTGACTTCACATTTTTTAGTTTGTATTTCTCTTAAGTTCTTCATGCTGCATCTATTCCCATTAACCAATTTTAATTTCTGACTGGTACTGGCTTATTAGTCACTTTCTAGCCATATTCAACATTTAAATGCTAGAGACAAATTTCTGAAGCCCTCAGTTCTGTTGTTTTTCTAGGATTTATATTTCAATTTCTCATTCTGGTATATTGACGTTCTGTAGATTTTATGAAGGAACCGTTCAGTCATATGATTCTTCAAAGAGGAAGCATGTGGTAAGCTCACTCTCTTGTTCTAAAGTTATTCTGCCATCTAAGTGATACAATTCTGACACAATGTTACTCTGGCATGTTGTGTCAAAGATATTATATGATGATGGAGAAGTAGAAAAACTCCGTATGGAAAAGGAACGTTGGGAGCTTATCAACGAGGGCCACAAACCTAATAAGGTCTGATTTTCTCAGTCATATTTCTCTGTAGCAGTTCAACTGTTCTCTTTTTCCTATTTCCACTAAAAGATATCAAATATCATTGAAGTTTGACTCCCTTTTTATATTATAATTTTCCAGAAGCTGAAGCCCTCAAATACTCTACCATTAAATGAAGTGTAAGTATTCCATTTGTGAGTCAGTTTTAGCGTAGTTTCATATGCTTGGAAAAGTTAAATACATGTTCATCTGCTTTAATTACAACTTGAATTTTATTTATATTAGCTTCACTGGCCATGATCTTTTAACCATTCTGAGTTGCTTTCGTCCTTTTGTATGTTGATTTTATTGATTGTTTATAGTTCTACTGGGAAGAAACAGAGAAGTTCAAGTGGTTCAGTGACTAAAAAGACAATAGAAATGTTAGTTGAAAAAATGAGATTCTTTTCTACATTGGTTTGTTCAATGTTCTATCAGTATATTATAACTTGTGTTGTATCATTTGATTTTTAGTGTAAATGGTAAACAATCTCCTAGCAAGTATGTTAAGCATGGGCCAAAAAAAGCATCAAAAACTAATTTCCATGAAGGTGTTAATGAGAGTTCTGAGCTATCAAACCCTGAAGAGACCGCAATATCTGAACCCGAGACCAACTCAGGTAACGTAACTTAAGAGATATTTGAAACTGATGCATATATCAATTATTATTTACACTTTGATTGATTACAGTGATAATATTGTGGGCATCCTGCAATTTTTGCACCAGATTAATGTTTCCGAGTCTGCATAGAACTGGTAGTTGATTTTTATGGTTTCAATTACTTATTTCTAGTTTAGATGAATAAGCTTGTCCTCAAGTGAAAAAGTTCTTATCTTTTTATGCATGGAAAGGATGGCGATTTTCCTCTATTAGATTCCCCCTTTATATGACTTCAAGACTACTAAGCTTTAGTTAAATAACTAAGTTTATTGTGAAATTAAGAAATTAAAAAAATCAGAGATAAGATTTAAATACTGCTCTAGTCATCCCATAACAGTTTTATTATGTCTCAAGGCTTGCTTAATTGTTTGATTCCGTAATATAGGTCCTACTTATAATATCATTTCTGCATCAATCTTTGGATATCTACTGCAAGCATGTTTACTATTAACCGATGCATGTTTATTTGTATAGTTTCATAGCTTCTTTGATGGATTTGCAGAGACAAGACTTAGACATATGTGTTTGCAGGAACATTGTTGTTTTGCAGACATACAGAAAATATTCATATCCATTCAAATAAACAGATTATTTGTGTGTCATAATCCAAATGTCGCCCATGATCCAAGTTCCCTCAAAAGATGACAGCAATGTTATTTGAGTTAGCAATCTATAAATCATGTCAATGTAGTGGAATTGAGAAAGCTCAGAGATGATTGACCGGGACACCTATTGCACGGTGCTCCTACATCGGGTTGGGGGACTCTGGAAGGGTCCAGATAAAAACAGCTTTAGCCCAATTAGGGTAGAGCCCAGTCCTGCAAGTATAACTCCACCGCCGTAATGTTTTACGAATGCTCACCCCTTATTCACCCTACCCATATAAAAACTTTGATCAATACAGTAATGTTTATATTTCAAAATAGCTAATCATTGAAAACACATCAATGATTAAGAAGAGAGGAGCTTGGAATATGGAAGTTACCAAAATCTTTTAATTATTGTGCAGCAAAGTGGGACATATATTTTACTTGTGATTCTGATATCAAATCTAAAATGGGTAGAGTTAGATATCATGTCAATCTATCTATAATTAGTATTGATCATGGTTATTGAGAAGTATTGCTTTCTTGAAATGGTTTAACCTTTGCCAATTTGCTCTTGAAATGTGAATATTATGCCTTGCATTTCACCAGTTATGATTGCTTATAGTGACATTTTTTGTGGTTCCTCATTACTATGTAAAATTTCTACTTCGTTAGTTTGTTTTGTTCTACTTTTTTCCCTTCAATTTTGTTTTATTTTCTGTTTTAGGTGGTTCTGAAGGGGAACAAGATGAAGGGTCTGGTGTTATCATAGCCAAGAAGAAAGTAAAATCAGGTTCACGTGGAAAGAGACCTAAGAAAAAGAAGAGCTTGAGTAATAAGAGAGAATCCAATGAAGAGAAGCCGGAACCAGATGAAGAGAAGCAGGATTACGCTGAGAGAATTTCTGGCAATAGAGAGAGTTACCCACAAGGAGCTCAAAATAATGAAGATAGTAGTTCAAATGAAAGAGATTTCGATGAATCAAGAGGAGCTTCGAGAGAAAATGTTAATGAAGAAGAAGAATCAGGTCCTGAAGGGAATCAAAATGAGAGTGATGGGGAAAGTAGTCCTAGTAGAGAAGTACAAACACCGCCTAATGATCGAACAAGTCCTGACAGCGCCGGATTTGCCGAGCTTCCAGATGATGAGCCACTGGTAAATAATTCAACAACTGCAAAATTCCAATACCTATTTTTTGTTTGGTTTTTCTTGAAACAAATTTAATACATTTTATAAGCTTATCAGTAACCAATGAGAATGATTGATGCAGATCAAATGGAAACTCCCCTCAGTGAAGAAAAGGTCATCAGCGAAAAAACAATAAGCATTTTGGCTGCTTCTGTAACATAAATCTTAGATTGACTTGATTAGTAGTGTTGTGGAAGCGTTTATTCTGTATCAGTACAAGTAGAGTATAGTGTGAATGGTGAATACCATTTATTGACACATGAATAGATTTGCTTTGCATGTCTTGTATTGTAGCCACCCTTGTGTAGAGATGTAACAGTCCCACATTTGGGAGGAAAAATAGTGATGGTGCACTAGGATTTTAGGTTTATGTTATGCAAAATGACCTTTCATTAGTGTAGGTGATCATAGGATTAACACACGATTCATGTGGATGTTGTTCATCCTTCCAACATAATCAATTGACTTAATCAACATGTACAGCTATACGTGGTGATAAATTGTATTTGTATCTTTATTTAATTACTATGATTCTTCATACTTTTGTTGTAGTCAGGTGTGTAAAAGATGATCTCACCATCAGTTCCTCCATGTTGTGTTTAAATATGATTTTGACAACTTAATATATTTTATTGAGTATAGTACACTATTTAATTGTTTGACGTCACATTACTTCTTATAGTTAATTATATTTTACACCAATTGAAACTTCAATTTAATTTTGTTTAATGAGTATCATTACTCAGCATTTTCTAATGGGTTTTAAAGAATTGTTCTATTTATATTTTGGTTATACTAAATTGTTTAGTACTTTAAAGTTTGACTGAGTATTGTTATCTTATAAGTACAGTTTATTTAGAATTTAATTTAATTTTGCAATAAATTGTTATATAAAATAACATATTATATCTCACTTGCCATTTTAAATGTAAACAATTTTTATTCTTTCTTGCAAATTTGTATTTTTTGATGATGTGTCAATCTTTTACTGAAATTGTTGCGGAACATATGTCAACAATATAAATGACAAACAATTTAAAAATAAAGGTGTAATCAATTTTAAATGCGAAAATGTGAGATGAATCAAAGTTATTTTGCATGAAAATATGTCTTGAAATAAGATAGGAAGAAAACAATGATGGTTTTTTAGCATTGGCATTTTTTCAGTGGCGGAGGTCGGCCGACGGTCAGTAGGGAAGGTTAACTCATTTGACTTGAGTTTGACTTAGTCATGCAAATAAAATTGGATCGTAGGTTTTGGATTGGATCCAAAAGTTTGGTCCATTAGAGTTTCAAGTTTATATAAGTAATTTTTTTAGAGGATTTCTTTTTCTATCCCGTAAAGAAATATCTTATATATTTTTTAAAAATGTTTCTTGGAAATTGGAAATATATTTTCGGTGCGCTTTATTCTATTAAATCTTGATTAGAAATCGGAAATACATTTGCAAAGCGAATCAGAAATGTATTTTTGGTTTCTGTGCAGACAGTACCAGAAACACTTATGTTGGCAGTGAGTATTTTTGCGCGTTGTTTCACATTGAATATAAAGACATATACAATAAAACATACAACAAAGACATAAAACAAAGACATATAAATATATAGCAGTAAACAGTATAAAAGGTGTCCGTAGTCGATATAGGGAGTAACCCAAAATATTATTCAAATACAATAAAAAAAACGATAACCAAAATACATATACAATAGCAAAGACTACTGGATATGGCGGACTCTGAGTCAGCCCGTCACCCTCCCGACGTTCCTCTGCTGCCTCCTATATTGTAGAGCCCCCTGAGCCTCTGCCATGATAGCATCCAAAACACCTCTAACATCAAAGTCACTAGGAAACATACCTCCACCAATACCCTCCTGTGCAATGTCCATGATACGACGACACCTAAGTAACACATCAGTGACATGATCGGTCATAGCTGCTCCTTCTCTAGAATCTCCTGATGAGCTGACCTTAGTGGGTTTTCTGGAATATCCTATACTAGGTATGAATGGGACACCTTGAAGAATTATATGTTATAATCGTCCACGTAGCTCCAGTCATTTGGAGCAAAGGTACTATGGGCTTTATCTCGAACAAGATGATTCTAATATCATCAAACAAGGCATCAATATCCCTCCGTTTCACCAAGGGAGGAGCAGATACAATAGGTTCCTGAGGAAGATTTTGGGTGCAGCCGAACTAATGCATGACGCACTCCGGCATATAAGCAGCTGTCTTGTGCGACCCGCAAGCCAACCATCCCGTAATTAGCGCAACATCGTCAAATGGTATCGTGACTCGGTGGTCGATGTATGAATGAAAGTGTATGTCCTCAAACACCATCTGATTGATATACACCTGGAACGACTTTATCGCCTGGTTCCCTCGAAGCAGGTCGTATGCAGTGGCACACGACTTATCTTTAGTATAATCTGTAGCAAGTGACCAACCCGAGATGCGGGGGAAGTGCTGTAGGATCGATCTTTGAAATAATAATAATAATTATTAATTAGTAACATAATCACAATAATTAACAAAACGCCACAAAGATCAAGAAATTTTACTGTTAGGAGTGTGATGCTGTCAGTCATCTGCTTCGTCTTCCACTTACATCTTTTAGACAACTTCGTATACAAGTACACCAAACAAACAGCCCCCAGTTTCACTGGTGGATCTGCTAAAAATCATCAAAGTACCCCAAGTACATCACATCTGTGTAAGTGGCACTAGTGTCCATAAAAATCTGTGTGCCAATCAGAAATAAAAGGTATCCTCTCATAGCAAACCTCTGGTGTAGGGTAACCTGCTCGCGATCACCATCAACCTCTCGTGCACGCCTTATCTCATCTGTGAACACTGTCTTCAAATAACTATATCTGACGTGGGCACCACGGGTGAAGTCCATCTCAGCAATGGCACTCTCAAGCGTAACTCCCAATTTCTCTACCAACATATCCAACACCTCACCTTTATCAATCCTGTCATAATATAAAAATGTCCCTCTAATCGGAAGATGCATCAGAGATGCGATGTCGTCCAGTGTGATCGTCATCTCACCATGTGGTAGATGGAATGACGACTTCTCATGGTGCCACCTCTCAACAAAAGCATTAATCATACCCCAATTAACGATGCTATAACCAGACTTGGTCAAATCTTTCAACCCTGTAAGTAACAACATCTCATCAAACCATGGCTCAAGAGGGGCTTCGAGTTTACTGATTTTTCTCCCATGATAGATAACCTTCAGCTGATCACATTCTTGCATACATGGTTTGATAAAATTTATTCAATAAAATTCCATAATAAAAATGTAACAGAAGGAGCAATTCAAAATTCATACCTTTCTGTCCCATATATGTCTAGCAACATGTTCCAGGTACAAAGGAAACATAGATAAATCAGACGATCCTCCTCCAAAACCCTGAGGCGTCGTAGGTGCCGACTTAGGTTCCTGAGATGTCTGGGGTTCCTCCTCAGGTTCCGATTGAGATGCAGGCTGTGGTTGCGCCTCAGGTGTCGACTGTATGACCTCTGGTGTCGGCTGGGAACTTAATGTCTCTTCCGCCTCCAATACCATCAGTGAGGAAGTGCGTCAACGAGAGGACGGAGGCAGGGAGGGATGAATTGGAAAATCCCACCTGCTGTGGGAGGACGATGAAGTTGAAGTAGAAATAGAAACACCAGAGGCTGAGGCTGTAGTAGACGCATCCGGTACAACCTATACAGAGGAAGAAGGAGCATGAGATGCCTGACTCATTTCCCTCTGCACAGAAGCATACCCGACCTAATAGACTAGAGATCTCAAGAAATAGGTTCAATGGGTAATAGCAAGTCGTGAGTAATATAAGGTGATTATGCTAGGATAAATAAGAGACACATGAATTCTGAAGCGAAAATAATATGAGATAATAGAAACTCTTAATAATATCTATAATCTACATGAGGGAGTACCCATCTACATGAGTAATCTTGATAGACTCATCTATGTGATTGTGGAACTTAGGCCGGTTCCTATGAAATTTTGAGGCAGGATTTCTAGAGGCTTCACTAAACCAGGATACACATGCAAGGCCATTGAAACACAAACTATTATAATACACCTTAAGAAAAGGTTGTATGTGAGTTTAATGTTTGCTATAGATTTCAATATAATTGTGTCACTCTTGTTGAATCAGAATCCTACTTGCTACGCAAAAGTTCAAGTCGTAAACACCTCTACTTATGCACAATCTTATAAACGTTTGACGTTTCTTCTAAAATCACTTTTTTTAAATTTCAGCAGGGGATTGTTGTAAATTAATGGATTAATAGGGAATTTAAAGGTTAGTGATATTAAGTTGAGAAAAAATGAACACAAGTATGATCTAGTGTGTATGATGGTGAATTTGAATTTTTTAAATTAAAGTCCTACATTGTAGGAGAGCACACTTTAGTAGTGTTTATATATTTCAAGTTGCCCAATTGGGTTGAGCCCCAAGGGGTAACCGGTTTTGTGATTGGATGAGAATACACTACCATGAAACATTAAACACGTGCGCTCGCCGTTCGTTAGGTCGACTCGACTCAGTATAGTCTAGGGTATGGACTTGAACTTTGATCCAATATTTTTTTATACCATAAATAATGAAAATATTTAATATTATCATTAAATATTAATTAATTTAATAATGGTGTGATACAATTCAATTACGAATTATAATTAATTACGATAACCCAAATTGTTGCCCAAACCTCCACATATCCATATTTTCTTGCGGGCTAAGTTACTTAACGACTACTTTTGGGTCGGATCCGCTCAGTTTCCCCCTACGTTCTCTCTTATTCAAGTTAGTCTTTCGCATATAAATAGAGACTCACTGTAATATGGTGGCAGAAATGACTTTTTTTGGTTTTATCTAAATGTGAGGATAGCTAGAGTCGCCACCGACTTTTCTTTTATCCAATATTTAGGAAAGGGTGAAAAGAACAGGAAAGACCTGGATAGATTTTGAGTTCGGGGGGTAAGTTATGAAAAGGAAAGGTGTTAGCATCCTTTTCATCCGTAGTTATCTACAAGCTCTTAATTGCTTAGCTCACTTTTAAAAAACTTGCTTTGCGTGTGTGTGATTTGTTTCAAAATATTTTGAAAAGCCAAT